CTATCACCATGTATTTTAATGAATCTAGTTGGTTCTGTAAAGTATAGGACTGTTCCGAATAATAGGGTTGTGATCCTAAAGCTAGTGTTGATTACTATCGAGTGTCATTTTCTTACTTGCTTTGAGTTGTTCGTGTGTATTCATAAAAAAGTCATGATATCAAATCAAAAACACCTTAGGTTTGGACAAAAGGTGCGACCAAAAAAGCATTGGCCGCGTATTTTGTTTTACCCACCATCATGTCCTAAGTTGAACAAAAAACGCGGCCTGGCTAATTGACGAATGAATATTTGCTGTAAACTTCTTCTCAATAGTAGAAGTGTAGCTACCAGTTTGTCCGCCAATTTTGAGTTCATTCCTTTAAGTCGCACGCTCAATCCTTTTTTGGCTGCAACCATTTTTATTTCACATGTAAAATGTTTTTGATGAAATCTATCTTACACAAATTACAAATACACAAGAGTGCAAACAACAACTTTAGGAAATGCATATTGTTTGAATGAAAATAGTTTGCATAGATATTCCATATTTATACTAGATGTATGTTTCGCTTCACCAAATATCATACAATTAGGCCAACAGTGCTCTGCATCATTTTGGTCTGAATTAATATCTGAAAGGGAAAATATCGCAAAATTAATATCTAAAAGGGAAAATATTGCAAAGGGAAAATATCGCAAAAATCGATATTAATTTTGCGATATTTTCTCTTTGCGATATTTTCCCTTTGCGATATTTTCCCTTTCAGATATTCATAGGGAAAATATCGCAAAAATAATATCGCAAAGGGAAAATGACGTAATGAAATGTAAATAACGAGTTCTTTTTAAATTTTTATAATGATTCTTTTCTCAGATTTTACAAGATTCAAAAACAATGAAAAAATGTGTTGCATATTGAGGGCACTTCGCATGGAAAAGAGCGGAGTTCAAACCCCCGGAACCCCATCCTATATCCAACTACTGACAGACACGTGCTCAAAGGCGTGACGTAGCTCTCCCATGCTAGACAGATTTCGTCATTTTCGTGTCACGTGCTATTCTAGTCGCTCAATAATATTCTATTTAAAGGATCATCTGAAATTATGTATATGTCTCAGTAACGTTTTTTCTTTAATAAATCTAGGCCTATCACAGATGACTAGGGCCGCATGTGTTTACAGATATTTTTTTAAACGCTGAACCCATTCTTGATGTGGGAATGTATATATTTCCTAATGCATGTCTTTTTTTTTTAGTCGTGGTGGATCTGGAGCTGCAGCTTCACCAGAACTCCGTCTTAATCTGGCCCTGGCGTCAACCAACGTTTAGATAACATTATATACCGTCAACCCACGTTTAGATAACATTATATACCGCCAACCCATGTTTAGATAACATTCTTTACCGTCAACCTACGTTTAGATAACATTCTTTACCGTCAACCCACGTTTAGATAACATTCTTTACCGTCAACCTACATTTAGATAACATTATATACCGTCAACCCACGTTTAGATAGCATTCTTTACCGTCAACCTACGTTTAGATAACATTATATACCGTCAACCTACGTTTAGATAATATTCTTTACCGTCAACCTACGTTTAGATAACATTCTTTACCGTCAACCTACGTTTAGATAACATTCTTTACCGTCAACCCACGTTTAGATAACATTCTTTACCGTCAACCTACATTTAGATAACATTATATACCGTCAACCTACGTTTAGATAACATTCTTTACCGTCAACCTACGTTTAGATAACATTATATACCGTCAACCTACGTTTAGATAACATTCTTTACCGTCAACCTACGTTTAGATAACAGTATATACCGTCAACCCATGTTTAGATAACATTCTTTACCGTCAACCTACGTTTAGATAACATTATATACCGTCAACCTACGTTTAGATAACATTCTTTACCGTCAACCTACGTTTAGATAACATTATATACCGTCAATCCACGTTTAGATAACATTCTTTACCGTCAACCTACGTTTAGATAACATTATATACCGTCAATCCACGTTTAGATAACATTCTTTACCGTCAACCTACGTTTAGATAACATTATATACCGTCAATCCACGTTTAGATAACATTATTTACCGTCAACCTACGTTTAGATAACAGTATACCTGCAGTATAAGTTCCTGGTAACTTATCACTAAGTTTAGTTAATTTCTGTAGAGTAAAGCAGTGGGAACTGCAACAACAACTCACATGGTTTAGTTAATCTCTGTAGGGTAAAGCAGTGGGAACTGCAACAACAACACAGACGGTCATCACTAAGTTTAGTTAATCTCTGTAGGGTAAAGCAGTGGGAACTGCAGCAACAACACAGACGGTCATCACTAAGTTTAGTTAATCTCTGTAGGGTAAAGCAGTGG